TATATATATATATATATGTCTGTGTGTGTATTTAGAATATATACACACAACACATACATCTTTTTCTGTTTATAAGCAACACAAAATAATGTTTGGTAATTGTAATTATTCGACAATTAATCTAGAATAATTGTCTATCTTGACGAAATATATTTGCCAGACATTTGAAATTAAATTGTTAAGGTTTTTTCACTTTTCATGCTGTATCATCAATCTGTTTTGTGTACTCCGATTTTCTATAAAAAATTATATACTATTATTGATTTTCCATCTTCCATGACTATTCTAAAATTGTTCTAATTATCCGAAAAATTAGTTGCTTATAAACGAAAAGAAAAAAGACATGTGTGTTGTGTACATATATTCTAATTATTTATATATACATATACATACCTATATATATATTCTAAACATTAATTAATTGTCGGGTAATTCTAATTATAGAACAATGTATTATATATATATTTTTTGATCTTTCATATTTTTGTCATTATATTATATTATTTATAATATATACCTAAAATATTAATGTTATTCGGTATCAGCGCTGGAAGTTTGTAAGAAAACTGGAGCTTGGGCACCTTGTGCAACTTGTATCAATTGTGGTTGAGTCTGAATGGGAGCTGTTTGAATGATAATTGGCTGATTGCTTCCACCTTGTACTTGCATACGAATCATCTGCAGTTGCTGGGGAGTCAACTGAATCTAAAAAAAAAAAATAATGGAAAATGTATAATATGCAAAAATAACATGAGTTGAAGTAAATAAATATTTCATAAAAAATTTTCTTTTATATTTACAGGTATTTGTTGAATTTCGCCACTAGGAGTGACAATTTGCTGTACGATTTGTATCCCACCAGTTTGGGTCGTGGGTGTTTGTTGCGTTTGCTGCAATTGTATAATTTGTTGACCAGATGACTGCTGTGGATTTTGAACTGTAACTGTTTGGGCTGTATTTGTGTTAGTGGTCTCCTAAAATTAATAAAATTATAAATATTATATATCAATATATTAATATATGCAAAATTTGCATGGATTAGTTAAAAAATAATATACCTGTTCTACCGGACTGCCAATATTAATAGTCTGAATTTGTCCACTAGAAGGTTGGACAATCTGTATAGGTTGCGTAGTACCACCACTGCTCTGTACACCCTGATTCGCTGAAGCTTGTTGTTGCGCCAATTGAAAATAATAATGGACCTGATCAGAATTCATAGACGTGCGTACAGTGGCCTCATTCTGTGCTTTGCTTTGTTTTATTTCGTCTCTAGGTACTATATCTATGAGAAAATCAAACTGATCATATTTCGTAACTGCCATTGCAATGTCGTTCCTTTGGAGAGTTCTTCTTTTATTGTCTTCTGTATGCACCCATGCTCTGAGAGTCAGTTCATGTATAAAAATCTCTGCTGCTTTAGCAAAAAGCATGGGAGCTTCTGCACTTATCATCTTTACATCTCCATCCAATTTCATAATCTTCTTTATCCTTGCCAATGGTAAAGATTGTGTTTTAAGATCCATCTAGAAACATTTGTTTACTTAAATGTTGAAAAGGACTGTAATATATTGAATTATTAATTTTACTAACAGTTGTAATATTTTTTATTTCTTCCATAACTTTTGGCCAAAAGTTAGACAAAGCTTGTTGTGCCTCAGAATTGCCCGGCGATGCAATTTGCAAGTCTCCATTTGAATCGCCCTCTATTTCACTATCTTGATTTCTGAAAAATGTATAACAATATATAAGGCTTGTACAATTTTGCTCTACTTGGCTTTATCCATTCAGGAACAAATGAGTAAAAATAGAGGAACATATATAATGTAATTAAATCAGAATTAGAATTGTTAATCTGTAAAGTATATTAATCTTTTTTTGTACATACATAAATACTAATTTTAAGGTATACCAAATGCAATAACGTCTAACCTAAAAACGATAGAAATTTTTTACTTACGAATTTAGGAAAAACACAGACATTTTTGCAGTTGTTGTTTGATTGCATATAAAGGTAAAGATCCTTTAATTATGAAAATTTCATCGCTGCAAAAAATTTAGCAACCGTGCCATCATTTAAATTATATTTTCACTAACTCTTGTACTTCCTATAGGCGATCTTTTTCCGTTAGAAAAATCGAGTTATGATTCTCCTTTTGTATCACCAGAGAGAAACCTGAGAGGGGCCACGCCGCCGTTTTTCCTGTAACGCTTTCTCTAGCCGGTACAGTGGCGCTAACTGATCGGCTCCCACTTCCCACTCCTCAACACTCGGTCTAGATATACTATGTCTATGGGCTGGTTTATGCAGGCCGTAACTGTTAATTTATGCATAATGGCATTATGAACAAAAGCATTGTAATCCTAGTGTTAAACTTTAACGGTTCCGGCATAAATTAACAGTTACGGCCTGCATAAACCAGCCTTTAATTGTGGATCTAGCACGGACATGCACCAATCGATCGTTTTACCATGGCACTGAAAAGTGGATCCGGCCACGTAGTTCCGCCGGCTCTAAAATGGATCCAGTTAGCGCCACTGTACCGGCTAGAGAAAGCGTTACATGAAAAATGGCGGCGTGGCCCCTCTCAGGTTTCTCTCTGGTATCATCTGTCACCTAGGCTAATGATCACTAATTTCCCTAACACAAGTGATTACGATACTACAATTGTTGTATCATATTCAGTCTGATTCAATTATATTATTATATTTGATTATATTTGACGCTGCAAAGAACAAATCTATCTTATATAGAAAAAAAAATGGAGGGATTTCTTTGCGCATGCGTGACAGCGTAAAAGGATGCGTTTAGGGCTGTGTTCGAAAACATCACTTGTGTGTCACCACGAGTGTCGTTCTATCTTTGTTCAACTTTTAGTAAATAACAAAGATAAAACGACGCTCATGTGCACACAAATGATGTTTCCGAACGCAGCCCAGAAATCCTACCCGTAGTTAAGGTGCCTTTAAGGTGCCTTTACATGGCAGCGTTAGAAATTTTAGTTCCTTTTGTTCTGGTTAGTCAAATTTCAATCTTTAATCTACAATCTTCAATTTTCAATGCGTAGTCTGATACGGGCTTAACGTAATGCATTACGGAAAAGCTTGTGCGGTGGCCCTTAACGCTGCCATGTAAAGGCACCTTTATTAACATTGCTCCACGCGAGTATGTAGTTCAGACAGATGGCGCAATGCAACGGCTTAAATTTCGTGGACGGGATTTTTCGCAGCATGGTCATTTCTCCCCTCATCTCTGAACGAAGAAAGCATTTTCCTCCCTCATAAAAATGAAGACCAAACCAAACCGTCATAAGGAAACAAACACTTTTCGGGTATTGAAATTGAAGAAAACAAAGCTGATCTAAATAATTATTGCTTTTTATACTAAACCGGTTTTTCTCTTTTGCACAGTTCAAACCGTTCTCTGAAAGAGTGACGGAAATCGAAGTTGATGTCTTTCACCGTGTGGGTCATCGATATGAAGATAATTGTGAGGAAGTGGAAACTTATTTTCACCAAACGCTACAGAAATGGAATGTTCTTAACCTAACAGATGGTTATATTGCTTTCAAGAAGCAAGTGCGAGACATCATTACATTGCCTCAATTGATTCACAAAAAGCAATATGTAATTGACACGCTCATGGAGTATCTGAAGAAACAGGATCCCTTGTTTCTGCAGCCTATTCTAGAGTAAGTATAGAAGAATACTAGTATAGAAAACTGCATAGATATACACATCTACATATTTCATTGTTTTTATATTTGTATGATCTCTTTCTCATAGATTAGTAGTAGCTGTATCGAGAGACCTTCAGAAAGATTTTTACGAGTATTTCCCGGAATTCTTATCCGAAATAATCCGTTTATTACAAACGAAAGACACGGAACAAATAGAGTACACATTTACCACTCTGGCATATCTTTTTAAATTTTTGTGGCGATATCTGATAAGAAACATAAGAACTGTGGTCACCCTATTGTTGCCGTTATTGTCTGACACGCAACCGGTCTATATAAACAGATTTGCTGCAGAAAGTTTTGCATTTGTAGGTCGCAAAATCAAAGATAAAGATTCCTTTCTAAAATTAGTACTACATATTTTGGAAGATAATCCAAATGGAGTACCGGGTTGTGCAAAGTTATTATTTGAGGTTGTGTTTGGTATCGCAGGACAATTTCACTCCTGTGGCGAGCAAATGTTATTGATTTATTTTAATGCTTTGCGAGACCAATCTGTTAATCAAAAGCTCACTTATGAAGTATTGAAAGAGATCATAGCATGCATATTAGAAAATGTACATTTCCAAAAATGTGATATTATGTGGAATGTTATATTTAAAGTGATGGATATATTTATTGAAAAATCAAAACAATCATTAGAATCTTCCGATAGAGAGCATGCGTTAGTTCTATTCCTGCGTCTTATACATATTATTATCAGTTATAAGAATGGAAAGTTTTTAACTGATGCTATATCTCTGATAAAAAGATTTGTTTTTATAATGGACACATTAAACGAGGATAATAATATCCTGCGAGAGATTATCAATGTGTCTATTGCTATTCTCTTAGCATCCAATGTGAAATTAATGCAGGAAAATTCGAGTCAACTGTTGTTGAAAATTATGGCAGTGAACAATACAGAATTATTGTATTTTGCTGTTGAGAAATTAATGCATTATTCTTCATTTGAAACTTTAGTCTTACCTCATGTATTGCGACGCAGTATCTCTATTGGAGTTGACAGTGAGACATTGCTTCTCTTTGCTAAAATAATTCTTGTCAAAGCATCGCCTTGTCTTAGTGGTATAAATTTGAACAAATGGAGAAAATATATTCTAGATGTACGAAATATCGGAGTTGAGAGTGTCGATTATTTTTTGTTGGAATTGAGGACATTGTCTACTGATATTGTTTCGATCGATGCAATAAGAATGTTGATAATTTTACCGCATCTGAAACCATTGCACGAAGAATTTAAGACTGTATTGAAAAATGGGTTATTATTTATGTATCAAAAGATGTTGGAACATGATAATACAGAAGATGCTGCAAACATTGATAGAACTAGTTTTATATTTTTATTAATGCTAGAATCGATAATACATATATCAGAGCCAAGTGAGCTTCACGAGTTTTTTGAGAAATCCAGCATAACAATAGTTGATCTTATCAACAAATATCACAATAACAAATATATCTTGAACGCGATAGATCTCTGTTTAACTTATTTCATTACCTCAGAGTATCACGCAAATTATATCAATTCTGCATTTTTTGATATATTAAATAACAACATAGTGAAGAGGATGAGTTCACCTTACAGCAGTATTCGGTTGACCGTAGCACACTTGTATTCTTTATTTTCTAATGTTGAAGATCTGAGAAGGTCTTCGATGCAGGATAACGACAAAACTGCCATGGAACTTGTCTATTTAGCGGAATGTGAACCCGCGACGGTACAAAATTATCGCGCCAAATTATTGCATTTACAAGCCTTAGGATTTCAGAGTCACGCGATAGCTAATTTAAATTCAAAATATTACGAATTTCCATTGCGTTGCTTGATTGGTAATCTATATGTCAATTTCTCTCTGCTCTGGCAACCTATAAGTATAATCCTAGCTAGTTATGGCAATAAGGAATGTCCACAGTTCTGGCCAACGTTTTTAGCCGAATTAACGTCTAACAATGTGCAAGAAATTGAATGGAAACCGTTGTTCGATTGTCATGTGATCTCCTCATTGGAGACCCTAAAAGAGAAGCACGACGATAAACCTGATTTCGAAAATTACAAGATACTACTCTGGAAATGTATGGCACATTTCTCGCATTACGCCGAGACAAAGAATAGAGATTTAACCGGATTGTTCATCGATTTTATAAATACAAATTTCTTTAAATCCAACTCCGAAGATGGCAAGTATTGTAATATCGAGAAGCATAAGGACGTAATCAACATAAATGACGATACGAATGACGAAAACAAAGAAAAAGAACTGAATGAAATCATAAAAATCACGCAAGCGGACACGAAGAGTAGAAATTACAAGGTGAAACACTTACTTGCTCAAATGGAGATATTTGAAAAAGTGCTAAATCCAAAAATGTTACATAGAGAAGCAGAGATGCGTCAGATTTATTTAGACTTACTTTCTTCGAAAAATGCCGACATACAGAAAGCTGCCTTGAATTGTCTCTTTGCATATAAGTACGAATATCTTTTGCCATACAAGGAATCGCTGTACGGTCTGATAAGCGAAAAGAATCTGAAGAATGAGCTCGCGCGTTTTAAGCTGGATCGAGAGAGTGACGTGATCAAGGAGATCCATCGTGAGAATCTCATACCAATTATAATGAGAATTATTTATGCGAAAATGATTATGAAGACCGGTATGAGAACCGGCGGGAAGGCCAATGGATTTACACGGCGGAAGATGATATTGCGTTTCTTAGGCGGCACGCAGGAAGACGAAATGATTATATTCATCCAAATGGCTTTTCGACCCTTCAAATCATATGTATCGCTAGAGGTGGAGGACAAAGAGTTCGACTTGAAGCGATATACCGAGAATATTATCGACGCGATCGACCTGACTAATGTTATCCCACCTAAACGCATACAGAGCGCTGTGAATTTGCTGGCAATAGTGATGGAACAATTCGGTGGTAAGATGTCAACGAAGCTATTGCCGCGTTTGCTCAGGATATTGATCTGCATTTTGGCGGAAGTGACCGGAATTATACATAAATCGGACGGGGTTTATCCGGGATACCTGTCGGCGATTAAGAACGTACGAACAAGTTGCATAGGTATATTGGCCAGATTTTTCGCGCATTTTGAGGACTACGATTGGAAGCGACACGAGATTGACGCGGTCTATCACGTTGCGATATTTCCCTGGTTACAGAAATTACCAGTCGAGGGTATACACAGTCCCACGGCCTTATTGAAGCTATTTATGGCATGGGGCCAGAATCCGCGATATCATTCGTTGTTTGCGAAGCATCGAGAGGACGACAAGTCGATCACTCCTCTTCCTTACATCGTGCAACTCCTTTTGAATCCCAAGACGCATCAGTCTGTCATTAATGCTATTTTGGAAATTGTTGAAAAGTTGCTGACGCTACAAGACTATGGACAATCCAACGAGAATAGCATGCAAGTGGACGCGTCGTTCTTACCGCTGATACCGGTACTAACGAATCTGCTTGACGTGGAGAAGAGTGTACTTCCGAACGGAATCAATTATGGTTCCGCTATTCTTCTGCCGCACGTCCCTCGCATTTTGGAATTTCTCAGAAATAAACTCGAGAGATCCAAAAGAGGTATAAACAAGACCGATTTGCTTATATTGTCACGAATCTCTGAATTTGTGACGGACGCTGAAACGTGCGATACTCTGTTGAAACTGATATTGCCTGTACTAGTAAAGAAGGCTGCGTGTGGCAATAACGAAGAAACTATCATTGAGCTTACGACGACCGTATTGAATCTCGTAAAAATTGCAAACAAGCCGGAGATTCACTTGCGTGCCATCGCGCCATTAATGGGTCTTGTATCAGACGTGCCTGCTCGTAAGCTTCTTCTGCAATTGTATGGCGTTATCGCCGAAAAATCTTCGGAGGAATATCGCGAGACGATGATACGAGATCGCGATGTTCTGATTGCGCTCAACGCATGGGATCGCAAATGGATTGATCAACCGGATTTTCAGAAAAGATTGGATGCTTTCGACGAGATCAACGATATGGCTAAGAGAAACGCCATCACCCTGGAATTCGGCGTGACTGTAATACACAATTGCTATTATTTCTTGAAGACCGAATCGGATCTGGCAATGAGGGATTGTGCCGGTCAGTGTTTGAAACTTGTGGGATCCAGATTGGCGAAGGAACACCAGAATAACGTCTCGAACAGACGTTATCTAATGGACGATACAATTCTGGCGCTCACGAGGAAAGGAATTACGAGTAAGAATGAGACTGTTCGCCTTCAATCAATAGCCCTTTTAGGACACATGGTTCTGGAATGCGCGGATGTGCATCCTATCTTGCGAGACATGTCATTGCTCGCCAATCGTGCCGATCCCGAGGTTGATTTCTTCGAGAATATGCAGCATTTGCAGTTACACAGAAGGGCTCGAGCGTTATTGAAATTCTGTACGCTCGCCAAAACATTACGGAAAGCGTTCAATTCTCGAACCTTGACGCAATTTATTCTTCCCCTCTGCTCGTCATATCTATGCAACGAAGCTTTCATTCATAAAAATAGCCTCGTCGATGCTGCCATCGAAACTATCGGGATGGTATGTAGACTTTTACCGTGGCATCATTACGAGATCATCTTGAGGTATTATTTAAATAAACTAAGGAGATCCATGGAGTTTCAAAAACAACTCATTAGAATAGTAGTAGCGATATTAGATTCGTTCCATTACGATCTCTCAAAATATAAAGAAACGCAAAAGATTACGCAGGTCGAAGTTACTTCGGCGAGAATGGAGGATAATGCCACTTTGATCGGCGAAGAGAAAACTAGTGAAATAAACGGTGAAGATGCGAACCTCGAGGATAAAGAAACTGAAGAAATATTGGAGGAAGCATTAAATGATGAAAATGTCGAGAATGTTGAAGAAGTAGAACAGGATAATGAAGTAGCGAAGGAAGATTTACCGATAATCGAGAGACAGACATTACTTTCGCAAAGCGGAGCGAAGAAAGTGATGTTCGGTATATCGAACGGTTTGTTACCCCAGTTGCATCGATCCATTATGGCCAGAACGCGGCAGGACAGTAGCCATAAAATTAATAAGAAGAAGCTTGCATCCGAAACGGAAGAAGATGATTTACTGAGAGTTCCCATCGCTGTCGCACTTGTTAAATTACTACAAAGAATGCCCGGGAGTCTTCTGGATGCAAACCTGCCAGGGTAAGTTCACGATATCATACAATGTGACATTTATCTAATTTAGGAGCAGACAATATCTGTTTCATCTTGTATAGAAATTCTCATATTATTTTTTATTGTGTTTTAAAATTATTTCTTTGAAATAAAATTTAATAAAATAAACTAATGTTTCTATACATGGAACATACTGACAAAGTTTTATCGTTTAACTTTGGTAATTATATATATGTATACACATTTTTTTCTTTTTTTCAGGATTTTTATGAAACTGTGTACATTTCTTAAATCGCGTATGGAATCAATTCGACGCACAACTCGCGAGACACTGCAAAAAATTATGATAACGTTAGGACCAAAATATCTTCATCATCTTTTGAAAGAAATGAATACATTATTAACTAAGGGTTTCCAAGTGCATGTTCTCGTGTACACAGTACAGTCCGTATTACTTGTACTGAAGCCTTATTTCCAGAAATATGACATTAATCACAATCTACAAAGTATTTTATCTGTAAGTACAATTATAGTTACAAGCTATAATATATATAAATTCATTTCATATAAAAAAATTCATTTCATTATTGGAATTTTTGTTAATATAAAACTTTCAATGTTCATAATTCTGAAAGAACATTTATAATCTCACATTTATACAATATATTTTTATCAATACAGTTAGTATATAGAAGACATTGATAAAATTTGATCAGATATTTTCTGTATATCTTCAAGTAATTATTTTTACATAGGTGTGCAAAGTCGATCTATTTGGATTAACTGCGGAAGAAAAGGAGATAGCTGGTATTGTTAAAAATGTATCAGAAGCAAGAAGTACTAAAAGTTTTGACATTTTCCATATATTAGCAGAATTTATAACAAAATCTTGCTTATTGGATTTAATTCTGCCATTAAAAGAAGTGCTGATGAAAACGCACTCGTACAAAACGATAAACAAAATTACGGAATGTCTCCGGAACGTAACTCTTGGATTGGCGGATAACTCTTATATACCACTGGAACAGATGCTCATATTTCTCTATGGCATTATTTCAGAAAGCATACCGGATTTTATGCCGGAAAAAGACAACAAAAAGCTTAGGGAAGAGGAAACGAAATCTCTCGTGCAGCAGCAATCAAATTGTTTCATTATACCACCAGAACCCAAAAACAGAATAGGTATTAAAACTACAGCGAAAACCACCAAGCGTACCAATGTACACGTAATGATAGAATTCGGTTTGAAACTGTATCATATACTACTAAAACGAGACAAGATCTCCTGTACGGAATACAAACTTTACTTGGAACCCTTCGTGCCGGTTTTGAGCGATTGTTTAAATTCTCATCACGTTAAGCTATGTACCGTAGCTTTACAATGTTTAAACTGGATGCTGAAAATGGACTTAACTTCGACACGCGAATCGATATCGGGAATTTGTACCACCATGTTCGACATCTTGCATAAATACGCCGCTGCGGGATTAAGCAAGGGAGACAACTTCGATCTCGTGATGGCCACATTCAAATGCATGTCCGTGATCGTCCGTGACGTGAAATACTTCAGTATCGACGCTGATCAATTAAAGATTCTTATCTTATATGCGGAACAGGATCTGCACGACAGTGATAAGTACGCCACTGCGTTTACATTGCTCAAGGCTATAATTCATCGGAAAATGATTATTCCTGAAATGCACGCTGTCATGGAAAAAGTCGCTAAACTGAGCATTACCACGGAATTGGAGCACGTTAGATTGCAATCGCGTTCTTTATTCTATTCGTACTTGATGGAATATCCTCTTGGTAAACATTTAGATAAACACATTTATTTTTATCTCAAACAATTGAGTTATAACTTGCAGCCAGGCCGATTGAGCGCACTGGAGATGATTCACACTATCGTCACGGGATTCCCATTAAAAATTTTAATTAGAAGATCGGAGATTATATTTATAATGACGAGCGCAAGATTAATAGACGACGATGATCCGACCTGCCGTAAACTTTGTGCGAAATGTATAACAGAAATACTCACCCGGATATCCTCCAACGAAAGAAATAAACTATTCAACAAGTGGCCTGTTCAATGGCTAGGTGATTCCAATATAAGATACCGGACATTAGCGGCACAATTATGCGGCATATTTGTGACTGTTGAAAAAAATGAGTTTGATTTAAGATTATCTCAAATTTTGCCATTGTTATTGAAGCAGTTCCACGCAAATTCTTCCGTTTCCGACAATGAAAAGCCTGGAAAATTTGTCAAGCTAAACAATGAAAACCATTTACAGAAAAATCTCAATTTAAAGGATTCGGAAAGAGCAAAAGATCATCATTTAATTCAAGTGTTACACTTGTTACTAAAGATTGCAAATTACACATCATTCTTCACGAATGAACAGTACAAAGATTCCATTGACTCTTTTGCTGGTAAGAAACATTTGTTGAAATGTATGAATAGGCATTTTTTCAGCAAGTACATATATATATTTATTTTATTTCACAGAATATAGTCAGTCTTTGTTGTCTCATCCACATTTCTGGGTTCGATTAGCTGCCGCACAATTTATTGGATTTGTCTTGACTGCTCTAGACGTTGATAAAGTTGTGGAGCTTTTAAATAATTCCGAGAATGAGAAAACACAAGAAGGATACATGTATTCAAATCCTGTTGATACTTTAAAGAGTTTAATTTTAGATCTAATAGCGCAACTCTATCCAGATATGACATTTGAAGAATTAGCAGATCAAGTTGTGAAAAATCTGATTTTTATCGCAAAAATATTAAAATCGATTAAAATATCTGGTGTGCATTGTAACAAACAGGATGAAGGAAATATAGCAAAGGATAACAATAATTTATCTCTTTCTTGGCTTATCAGAAGATTGAGAAAAGCTGTTAATATAGAGATAACACAAGCTCCTAAATCGACATCAGTTGTAAGGATATATCTTTATTTATTGAATATTATCTATATAGAAAATTTTTATGCATGATATAAAAAAAATTATATGGATCACACATTTTCAGAGAACTGCAGTGTTTAAATTTATTGCTGGTGTAGTAACTACAATTCCTATGGAATATTTAAATGCGATACTTTTTAATATCATGTCTCCATTGGTACGAGAGATAGCTATAACAGAAGAAACTAATATTGAATTACGTCGACTTGCCAAAGAAGTAGTTGCCATGATTAAAAAATCTGTAGGAAACGAAGAATATATCAAATTATTGAATCGAGTGCAACAAAAACATGATATTAAGAGAGCAGAAAGGAGAAAAGTTCGCACACAACAGGTAAATTAACTTATTATTCATCTTTTTATATTTGTAATACTTTTTACATAAGATATTATAGGGAATATTTATAAACATATACTCTTACAAATGTAATATACATAATATTCACTACAGTTTGTAGTTGATCCTGATCTGGCAGCTAAACGCAAATTGGCTAGACAACAAAAGAAAAAGGAGTCGAAGAAAAGGAAAATTAATAATATAAAAGGAAACAAAGTAGTAAAGAAACGCAGAAAGAAAGTAGACCCGGATGAACTATAATGTATAATTTATACGATTTTATAATTGCACAATAAATAATTGTGACTTGTAAATATTTATAATATAAAATATATGTATAAATTATTGTAACATTTTTACAGAGACATACAAGAATACGTACAAACATTAATACATTTTATAATTGTGAAAAGTTCTAAATAATGACTATGAGTAACTATATACTATATATCTATATATGTAAAGAAAGTTAGAAGTGTAAAAGAGTAATATACATTGCCGCGCATGCGCGAAAAATCTGGCCTGCTTCACAATGTTGGGCGCATTCAGCGGACCGATAGTTTAGCATCGTCTTGTCAATACTCGACGTTGATTTGTTGGTTCTAAAAGTAAGAACCAATCACGTTCGATTGCTACCCAATTGTTGAATCCGCTGAATGCGTCCAATGTTTCTAGTATGTATAAAATTCAATAGTCTATGGTTGTCTCCATATTGCTCCATATGCTATAACCTAAAAAAATTCAGTATTGAATTGGGATGAGTAATATTTCCGTATTACGTGAAGTATTATAATAACTATAATTTTGAAATACATTTTATTCATTTATTTATCTTGTTAAAACTGAGGAACATTCAGTTACAAATTTTAGTTAATATGGTAACGAATCTAATAAATCTTTGTATACATACAAGTTATCATTTTTGAAACACATTTGTGTTGCTTTATACATATAATTTAGTTTGGTAATTTTATTTTTATGATTACAGATTTATATATATTATTTAAATCTTTAAGATATTTGTATACAAATTTTCTTTTACCTGTGTTGGTGATTTTAATATTCAATATTTAATATACACATCTGCTGAAAATGGTACGAGCGAGTGAGAGCGATATCTCAACCATAGGCGGAGTCCTGAATGATTCTGCTAGGCCTTTGAAAGAAAGATTCCGGGCTTTATTTACCCTGAAAAACATTGGTGATGCAACGGCAATAAATCAGATCAGTACATGCTTTAAGGATCAGTCGGCATTGTTGAAGCATGAGCTCGCATATTGCCTGGGTCAGATGAAGAATCCTATGGCAATTAGCATCTTAACAAGTGTTTTGGAAGATCTGTCGCAAGAACCGATGGTACGTCATGAAGCAGGTATGTGTTTAGTGTGTATGTTTATTCGATTTTTAATGATATGTTTTGGAACAAATGAAGAAAATAAAGCCTATAATTTGAACAGGAGAGGCACTGGGTGCTATCGGTGAGCCAAGTGTGGTTCCATTGTTGGAAAAGTATTGTAAGGATTCTGTGTTGGAGGTAGCGGAAACCTGCGAATTAGCCTTAGATCGATTGAAATGGTTGGAATCTAATAATATAGCGAGCTTGAAAAAAAATCCATACTCGACCATCGATCCTGCACCTCCAATGGAAATAACAAATGTGAATGTCTTAAAGGAAATTTTACTGAATGAAAACAAATCACTATTTGATAGATACAGGGCAATGTTTTCACTGAGAAATTTAGGCACCAAGGAAAGTATCCTTGTACTTATAGAAGGTAATTACATTATTCTAATAGGAGAGAAAATGTTAATGTGGAGTAATAATTATCTATTTGTCTTTATATGATGCAGGTTTGAAAGCTGGTAGCGCCTTGTTCAGGCACGAAATAGCATTTGTACTGGGACAACTTCAAGAAGAAATATCTGTACCAGGATTGCGAGCATCGTTAGAAAATACAGAAGAAAATGAGATGGTGAGGCACGAATGCGCGGAAGCTTTGGGTTCCATTGCCACTCCTGAGTGCTATGAGATATTGAATAAATACCTCAATGATAGTAAAAGAGTCGTTCGCGAAAGCTGTGTCGTCGCTTTGGATATGTGCGACTATGAGAACAGTTCGGAGTTTCAATATGCGGATACATTAGCCAAACTTCCTACTACGTGAAAATATCCATCTTTAAAATGTATATAATATTGTATATTTATTACATTTAAAAAAAAAAGAAAAATGTAAGTCATTCTTTTAGTCGTACATATTTTTTCATTCAATGCGATTTTCTAAAGCGTGGAAAGCTAACTAAAAAGATTATTTTTTATTATGAATGTATATATTTTTCCTGTTTCCCTCAGTCTTAATTTTTATAGTCTGCTTTTATTTAATTTAGATTACACGAAAATGATTTAAGAGCGAATTATTTTATAGCGAATCGATTGTGAAAGAAGTTGTATTTTTGTTATATAAGACGATTTTTTCTCTAAGGAAACGGTAAAATCGGTAGATTGAATTGCAGCGATATATATGCGGGTATACCGCTAATAACAAATGTCCGATAAGACTCACACGATACGAACCGGGTGTTTCGAGTGGAATCGATCAGCCACGTCACGGTCCAATGTTTTTACATTTGCCGTAAACCTCATTTATGCGAATTCATTTCTTTATAATCGCGTTTGTAAATATGTGTGTGTATGTGTAGCGTTAGCTATATTCCTGTAGCGGAATTTCAATATTGTCGGTGCTCAATTTCATGAATATCGCGTGCCGCCTTAGGCATTCATTGGCATACAGTCATAGCTTTTATTACTGTAAACACACAGAAACCTTTACGATTCATATCAAGATAAATATTTCTCAGTTCTCTTACGATGTTAGGATGTCGTTTAAATTGTGTTATGTAGGGAAAATTTATAGACATAAAAGACATTTCTCCTTGATTCGCCAAAGGGGAGAAGCTTGATTTAAGCTGAATAATGAAACGATTAATCAGAGTCTGTAAAGCAAGATTGACGCGTTGTAAATATTGGACAAGTAGGATAGAGTTCGTCAAATCTTCAACATCGCAAGTATACAGGATTACGTGCTTTATTTTCACTTATAGAAAGGATCTTACAAGATAGGCACGATACATTCAAGCGTGCTTTTATCAAATAACACTATAACAAAATATTATCGCTTCAATGTCACGTTCACATCTACCTTTTTCTTATCGATTTTAACATACTATTAATATATCTTTTAACACGCGTTAAAGTATAAAAATAATTAATCGATCGCGAAAACGTGCGCAAAATTTTCTCTTACTACGAGACTTATTCTTTTATTCGAAAAGATAGTTTGGGGATAATTATTTATTTTTGTGGTATATATTTTGTGTCTCTCAAGGTACTTGTATATGCGACGCTATCGCTCGTTATAAAGTATAAGACGATTCTCGCCAAAGTGGGGGGATGGATGGGGGTGGTCGATATTAACCGCGAAGCACTTTCCTTCGCGGAGAACGCGGTGGCAATAGTCACATGCCGGCCGCGGTCGAGTATACTCGCTGTGTCTCTCTGCTGCTTCACTTAAAGTAAGCGCTTTCTCTCTTTCTCGTCTGTTAAAAATATTAATTACGATAATTCGTCAAAGATTCGACGATACCAAGAAAAAAAACAAAAACATTTCGGCAACATTTTCTGAGATTTTATCAGATAATTATATTAGAGATATTTTTCTAAATACTTCTTACTCGTTATACAGTTTTCAAATGATGTACGAAATACATATCGAAGTGTATATTTGGTTCCTATAATTTTTTGCAAAAGAGATACAAATAATTTTCTTTAAATTAAAGTTACGAAATTTTTCATTGATGTCGTCGAATTGATGAAAAAAATCACATTTTAAAAATTCCACACAAAAAGCTTTTAAATGCGTATTAAAAAATGTTTATTTTTAATTAATATCCTTCCATTTAACAAGCAAACTATAAGAATTTGATTTTATGTATTTCCTCTTTCTTTCTTTTTATTTTCTTCTTTTTCATTATATAAAAAACTGTGTTTAAACATTTGATTCACAAAATAATAGTATTATATGATATAGAAATATTTAAATTAAATGAGTAATATTTAATTAAGTAAGTTTAAATTAAATGAGTAATATTTAATATTTAGTTAAATATTTAATTAAATGAGTATTATATGATATAGAAATATTTTGTTTCCGCAATTCTGAATATTTTGCAAAAGCTGTACACTATACAGTATGGGAAGATAGAATTTTAAAAAATTGATTTTTCTCAAATTAAGTACAAATTTTTGAAATCGAAGAATATTTCCAAAGTCTTTAGACTCATTTCTCCCTGTTTTCCCCAAATTTCAATTCCTTAATTTAAATGATTAAGAATAGCGATAGAAAGGATAGAAAGAAAATAATTAATCATGTAGTCGATTTGATCACATACACAAAGAAATCAAAATTGAGATTCGAAGAGTTCGTTATCTTGCAAAATAAAGTTTTGTCGATTCTCGTGAATTTACTAAAATAGCAAGTTACGCATATAACAATCTCATTTCGATTAATATTAATAAGAAATAATGTTTCGTTATTTTTAATTGTCCACTTATTATTGAAGTTTGCGTTATTAAAATTTATGATTTTTTAAATTATTATCAAGCGTGTCTCCTTCCGTTGGTCTCCTACAATTTCGACCAACGCATGTATAATATTTTAAGAAATACGAAATACGCATGTTCTTTCCCCGGATTATGAAATCGCTTTTCGTGTGTACTACTTTTTTTTATATGAAGTTCGTGTGTCGTGAGAGATTTAATGATAAACTTCGCAGTTATTCGAAGTATATACTTTCGTGAGTATGAGTATACAGCGAGCGCATACGAAACGAATGACATCTCGTGTGCTTGATGTGTTTTGATTGATCTTTCTTATTTATGAGATATTCGTTCGTAAAATATGCATCTCAGCTCGAAAGTAATCGCTCTCGGATATACGAGATTGGCCCTTTCTTCGATAGCGACGGCTGTCTTTGTAATGTCAATCGCGCGCAACGTTCGTACACTTCTCGATATGCCGGAAGCAAAACAAACGTCAATCATTCACCGATTCTCGATACCGGAAAAAAGTTGTCGCGGATAAGGAATCATGGAATCGTTCAACAGACAGTTTAGAAGGAAGGAGATTGACATCTCGCAGTCAAATAATATCGAATATCGTAATGTTTAAATTAAAACGTAACGCGATTTGCACGACGTAAGCATTTGCATGTTTCTCTGCCAGCATGTGGCTTCCCGCTCTTTTGACGTCATAATCTGGTATACCTGCAAACACGATAAGGAGCATTTAATTTCATTCTTGTTTAGCAAACATTCACTATTTTTATAATTAGAAATTTTATATATTTTTTGCGAAGTGTATGTTTATAAATCATGTAGCAAAATTTCATAACTTTATTACGTTGAGCAAAACTGTATTTGCCGCAATTTTGAATCACGGTGGAATATAAGAACCGCTTTGGCGTTACGTGTCGATCGTTAAATTGGCATACTCTTATGTCAGAATATCCGGTCTTTACAATCCTAGTTAATTAACTTTGTAGAAAGAATCGATCTATCTTTTCCTTCCTTGCATTATTATTATCATCATTACTGCGATTCAGTTTTAAAACTTGGATATTTTTTTGCGATATATTAATATAACACAAAGGTAAAAATATATGCAAATATTAATTTGAAAGTTCAAAGGAAAGACTTATACGGGAGTACGAGCGAATATATCAATATCATAGAGTTTTATGCAATTTCCGGCGCAGTGATTTGTATGCGCGACTTATGCACATGTCACTGGAAGCATCGATGAGCGATCAGGCGTCATCGGATTCGCGATCGCGGGAGATCATGAGGGATAATCGGTGGTTCCTGAAGGACGAGACGTAGGAGGATATGTCCGGCTGCTTGTCATCATCTATGACAGGATCGACAGATGCGGGGCCCCTGCAGCCCCAGGAAGATCCCGCGCCGCCGTCGACCTATGACCTCAGACCGTTGTCAGAGGGCAATGGCTCGTCGGCCCGCCGAGGCAATCGTCATCGTCATCAGCTGCGACGTAGGATGACGTCCGCCCCATCGTCCGGACAAACGATACAGCTGACTCCACTTTGGGAACACGTAGTACGTGTCTCTATCCTCTGTTACAATATACTAAGCGTTATACTTCATTTTATATATTTTATATTTGTATTTCTAGTTTAAAAAATTAGAATATGAAATTTTTTTCTCGATTCTACAAATTTACGCGCGTTTTTCCGATCAGGTGCGTACGCGTAGGTTTCCATCCGAGGTCGACACGCAGGCCACCTTCGTTGAGATCTCCGAGAGACTTCGAGACCCGGAATGGGAAGTGCGCCAGCATGCTCTGCGGGTACTAATGGACGTTCTACCAACTCTGAATGCCGATGCCGTTGACAAGGTCATGCAACCGGTGGTGCCGGAGCTGATCAATAATTTAGGGCATCCAGCGCCGGCGGTACGGAAGGGTGCCTTGGACGCGCTGCGGGTCTACCTCGTTCATACCCCCAACAGAGACAGCGTGGTCAAAAATGTAAATATCCGCAATGCGCTAAAACAGAATTTTTTCTAATTTTTACATCTACAATTTTTATATTCAATTAAATTATAATTAAATTAATATATCCAATTATTACAAATCTAAATTTCTCATATTTTTAAACTTTCAAATTTCAATTTGTTAAATAGATTTTTAGAATGATCTATTTGTAAATAAAAATTAAATTCAAAATACGCAAATTTTTAGATCTTTTTCGCGATTACATAGTTTCCATGATTTTTTTATTTTTTTTAATAATACGCGTTATCGAGGAATATTTGTTACAGATCCTCCACGACGGCTTGAATCGACCGGATGCTCACAATCCGTTTCAGACGAATGTGACGACGGGCGTGATTTTGAGCGCACCGTTGCTACTTTTTCCGTCATCTGACAGTCCCCCACCGACTATGCAGATCCTCAAAGACGCCACGATCGCCTTCGCTGCACGGTTGGTTCAGGTACCGCACCAGGAGGCCGCTCTCAAATCCCTTATGAAGATTCGCAATGAGGTCGGCGACGAAGAATTCGAGAGTTATTTAGCTGATTACGACGATAAGTTGAAGAAGAACATCGATGTTCTTTCAAAGATTTACAATATCAAACCGAGCAAGAGGAAGCGAGAGAGAAATCACGAGCAGGATATCGTAAAGGCCGACATAAAGGAGCAGCGTATCTTGAACAAATCCTGGGACAGCGATAGTGACACTTCCGGTATTGCCGAGGAAGAGGACGAGGCATCGAACGCTATACCGCCGGCGAGAGTCGTTTTGGAGACCGAAATCAAGTTCAATGAAGAGACGGCCATCACGATGACGATTCTGGAGGAGAAGGACGAGAACGAGAGCGGGGACGACGGGACCGGTAAGGGCGAAAATCCATCCTCTCCGAATAAACGGAAGACGCCCAGACGCGTCCGCTTCGGCGGTGAGATCGTCAAGCTGAGGACACCCGACAGCGACGAGACAGAATCGATCGAGATAACACCTAAGACGAGGATCCCGCTTCCAGTGTCGCCGGCCACCAAAATGCCGGAAACGACGAACCGGAGACGACCTTCGTCGCAACCGTGCAGTCCCCACGCGGGTGAGAAGCGGAGATCGAGGAGGGTTTCTAGATCGGCATCCAGCAGTCCCAAGAGAGAATATACGCACAACGCGCAACTGAGTCCTAAGAAAAGTATTCTCACACGAACGGATGGTCCTCTCATTATCGACCCCGTAACGGAAGAAATTAAGAAAGTAAAGAAAGATAAGAGAAACGGCGAAGCAGTTTCAGAGGATAAAGATTCTTTTAAGGTAAACGATAGTTTAAAAGAAATTAACGAGACATCGAGGAAGGAAGATAACACCTTAGATCAGACAACTTTAGGCGCGGCAAATAAAGAAGAGAAACCGATGAAGAACAACGAAAATAATCGAGCGAAGGATGAAAATAACATATCCAAGGTAGCTCAAGTTGCAATCGCAGTACCGAAGAATGTGTCCTCGAAAGGAGAACAAGCGATTCTCGAAGATAATCATGCGGGCATGATTGACGAGAGCGTTTCCGAAACTACCTCGCGACGAGAAAAAAATTCATCGCCGACTAAATTATCGAATTCGAGTGGTCCAAAGACGGTCAAAGATAATAAGGACGACAATCTCAAAATGGAAAAAGAACGCTCGAACAAAGATGTTCGGAAAACATCGGAAAGCAATTTTGTTAGCGATTTTTCCAACGATCTTCCATTCGGATCGCCGGTTAACGGCGAATACGAAGCGCAAATAGATCGCCTGGTCGGCGGTGATTTTGTCGACGATGATGAACGGGAGGATGTGCGTATTTTCGGCTCGATTACGGACGATCGTGCGACGAAGAACGACGACGGCGAAGGACGAAGGAGACGCGGTCAATGCTTTGACAGGAAGAGCATGTCGGAGGGGAACGGAAGTGTCACTTGCAGCAGTAGCGAGGGTGAGAGTAAACCGCGAGAACCTAGCTGGGAGGAACTTGGATTGGTCGGTCAAGAGGTGTTGGATGATTTGCATAATAAGGTGAGTGGATTCGAAAATATTTCCGGATAATTGCAAGGTTAATGAGTACACAAAATATTTTATATATGTGTGTTGCATGTGCGAATTTATTATATATAATGTTAGTTTTTTTGTAAAAGATTTTTAGTAAATGTGCATTTTTTATCGCCTGTGAAAGTTAAATCTCTTGCGATTTTATATCGAGATGAGTCTTTCATAGTTCTTGAGATCTTTTTAATTGCCAAAACTATATTTTCGAATCTCTATAAAATTTTCCAAATAATATAAATACATCGAGTTAATTTGACGACTTAAAGCGAGAACGCGAAATACTTCATATCGATTTATTAGCGTAAATTAATCTTTGAGCTATGAGTTGATCGCATTAATTTAAAGTGCAAATATAATTTAATATATCATAAAGAATCGAAATAAGATACTCGTATATTTATTTATGTATCTTGTCAAAGACATTGATATCTCCTTTATGAGAAAATGTTTGTTATCATTTCCGTCGAGACAGGGTAACGCTCCGCTTCCACTCGCGGCGTGGATTAACATGCTCATTCGAGGACCCTTGACTTTAGGACAGGTCGCCGGTCCGATACATTAGTACACGGTGAGAAGTAGGTCGATCGATTTTCGTCGACAAAAGTTCGTCGCGTGACGTAACGTGATTTAAGCTCCATCAATTATCGGGGTTACGTGTGCGCGCGTACACAGACGCTTAACATATCTTTTTCTGCTCTTTTTTTTTTCTTTAATCTCATGTACACGAAGTACTTATTTCTTGCACCATCGATATTTTCTATCGAACATCATCGCGGCGCATTGGGTCATTATTATAAAATTACATTCGATTATATTCGATCGACGTACAATTAATCCGCGGACGTGGCGTACTCGTAATAAATATCGGGTGAATAATCGAAAAGCTCGAAATCCAGTCTCAGCTTTTCATGGAGCTTCCGCACCGTCGCTCTGTTTAATTGACGGAAGTATATCTTGGAAGCGTTGACGTGACTGTTACTATGCCTCCATCTGGGCTTGATCTTGTCCCGTAATCCAAACTTATTGATCGCGTACACTTGATCTCGCCACAACGATTCCACCTATAGAATTAATAACATATTCACGGAAAATATTTAATACAAAATGAGAAATTTTTTTTATTAAAAAATTTATCACTTATTTTATCTTAGAAGAGATATTTAATGCGAAACATTGTGCGACAGACAACAGATAGCGGTTTCGAATGCGGGTCCCGATACTCACATTCGCAATAATGCTGTACTTGACGAGGCACGGCGTGCAATAGAGATAATATGGCATCCAGTGATCGTCGCCGTAACTTCCGAGATCGGTGTCGATCACGTAATCGACAAACTCTCGAAAAGTCGGCTCCACACCGGCTGGTGACGGTATGTCATCGCGCCGAATCACCTGATCCGATCGTGGTTCCGTAAAATTGTTTCCTAAAGATTTAAGAGAAAAAAAACCATCGGCATTTATATGTCGCCGCTCTCTGTATTCTGTATAAAATTGGAGGAATCGAATATTTTCTTCATTTATTAAAATTACTCTCTCTTTTACTTTCTCGTGACTTACTGCGATATTTCTTCACGATCTTGGCTCCGTACTTGCGATAAAAGTGCAATGTCCCGTGTTCCCGGCCGGCAACAGAGTTCTCGAGTTTGTCGCGATAGGCACTCAACAGCCTCTCGAACGGATGTCGAACGACCAAAAGCCTTCTACTCGCGTTTAAGACTCGTTCCGCCTCGGGGTACTCGAGTTCCGGTATCGCCCTCCTGGCGATGGTCGACAATTGTTCCCTGCCGTTATTCAGCGTCTCCATGGGCACATTCATCAATAGGCAGAGATTGTAGAGCCAGGTCGTAGTGCCGGCTTTGTACACCGGGCAATACGATATATTGTGTAGTCTACGTGGCAAATTGCGTAATCTTATCAATAAGTTGATCTTGATTTAATCGATTTCTTATGATGTCAAAGGATTCTCTTTTCTTAATGAACCTGTCCATATAGAAGACGCTGTACTGCGGCGCGGGCGGATGTTTGAACAACGAATCTTCGGCGAGCTTTCGATAGGAGCCTAAATTATAGTTTTTGCATACTCTTTCGACATTCAACAATCGTCGTGTGTTGTCCATTTCAGCTTCGATCTAATTGTAAGATAAATCGCGAGATTATTTTCTTAAGATTTGAGAAAATGAAAGGATCAATTTCTTTT